AGTATAAATATTATCTTTGTTCCTTTGAACAACTGTGTTGTATGAAAGGAGAGAAGGTTAGCACTCCCCTTGATAAGGATGGAAGGGGTCCTAGTGGCCTTACAACACACAAATGGTTAAGGCATTGCCATCTACTTAGTGGCATCTAACCATGTTTTTCTTTGCAGAAAGCGATCATGTTTGAATGCTTTTGAAACTGTTGTCAAACCAAGTTGCTTTTTTCCTCAACAGAGAGGTAGTCAATGAAACCAAGCTGGGCTAAGTCTCCTTAGAATGTATCTCTCCCTGTCCCTGCAGTCTTCTTAAACTGACTGACATCCTCTCCACAATACAGTTCACCCTTGGTGACTCTGCGTCGTGTTTTCTCCAACTACTTTCATGCTCCTGATTGCTATACTACATGCGTTTTTTAAAATTAATTTTTTAATATTTAACATTTACTCATTCTAGTCCTCTTCCCCCCCACCCAAACCAAATATTGCTCATTTCAAGACATTATTGTTTTGGTAAAATCTTAGACTGATGGGGTCCTCTTCTAAATAGCAAAACATTACTTGCATCGCTGGTTCAGCAGTAGAATTCTTTCCTGCCACGTGTGAGGCCCAGGTTCAATTCCTAGCCAATTCATCTTGCTCCTTTCTGGGGCAGCACGGTGGCGTGGTGGGTACCACTGCTACCTCACAGCACCAGGCTTTGATTCCACCCTTTGGGGAGGCGACTGTCTGTGTGGAATTTGCACATTCTCCCTGTGTCTGTGTGGGTTTGCTCCGGTTTCCTCCCGCAGTCCAAAGATGTGCAGTTTAGGTGAATTGGCCATGCTAAATTGCCTGTAGTTTTCAGGGATTTGTCGGTTAGGGGAATGGGTCTGGGTGGGATGCTCTGAGGTTTGGTGTGGACTTCTTGGGCCAAAGGGCCTGTTTCCATACTGTAGGGATTCTACGATCATGATCTTATTTCCACATCAAGTACAGCACAGTTCATTTAGGATCGTTCATCTCTCCTTTAATTACACACGAGGAAGGCAATGGAAAACCACCTTATCTGTTCATTTTCCTAGTCATATTCCATTTGATGTTGAAAATTGGAGGTTCCTACCAGCAATTGAAGGGATGATAGACTGTATCTTGTGGAGAAACAAACAGAGAAGCCGCCCTTAGGCAGCTGACTACTCCATCAGAAAATATGAAGATTTGCCATAATGAGGATGGCATTCTTAGCCTTTTTTTCTAGCAGCTACATTTTCAACCATTAACACACCCTTTTGCTTCTCACCAGAGACCATCTCTCAAGTAGAGGAGGCTGGCATTATATAGCAACAAATCACGCACTATCTGCAAAATAATATCAAAGGAAATAAGGAAAACATTTTTAGAAGTAAAATAACTGCTTGATCGCTCATTTTGTCCACAAAGACAAACACAATCATTAATATTCACTACAAAGCTCTCCACTGATTTCAGTATAGAGACTCCCAGCAGTTTCCATTTTCCCTGATATTCACTGTCTTAACACAATGACCGAAGTATCAAAGAACCTTTTGTGCACTCCGTGGTATCCATTACATGTTATTAAAGGTAGTTTGTATCAAAGAGATGCATTAACATTATTTCCAAATTGTTATAGATTTTGGTTACTGTTCATTCAGTTACGGTATCAATATATTGCATTTAATTTTGCTCTGTCATCTGTCACACATTTATTTCAGGCTTTGTATATACACTCTGTTAGTTAGATATTGAATTATTACAAATTTACAGTCTTTTCCATGGTATCCATTCCATGTATTAAAGGTAGTTTGTATCAAAGAGATGTATAAACATTATTTCCATATTGCTATAGATTTTTGTTACTGTTCTGTCAGTTACAGTATCAATATATTGCATTTAATTTTGCTCTATCATCTGTCACACATTCATTTCAGGCTTTGTATATACACTCTGTTGGTTAGATATTGAATTATTACAAATTTACAGTCTTGTAAGAATAATTTAATGTTTAATCTTTGGTCAGACAGAACTTGATTATTGCTAAAAAAAAGACATATTTTGTTGAAGTTTTTCATCTTGTATTCATTAGGACATCCACAAGAATACCATTGAAAAGTGAACAGCATTTATATAGTGTATGAGAAGAGTGTGCTGTTGGTTGGCAAGTAGACTTTAATTGGTACAGTTTTTGCACCAATTGGATGGTGAGTAATAATTAACTATCAAACTTGTTAAATTTTGTTGAAGATAATTTGTTCAGGCATTGCATGAGGAATGAACCAGAGAGTGACTGTCACCAAAGTATGCCTTTTTTCACCAATACTAAATTTTTAATCTTTTACATTTAGGTAATGGATTAGTCTATATTTACAACTTGTAACTGTCAGATAATCAGTTACTCCACATTTAGCCTGTTACAATTAATTAATTATACCATATTTACAGCCTTATGGTTCATAAATTATTCAATTTTTACAGACTGTTATAATTAAATGATGAATTATTTCATATTTACAGTTTGTCACAGTCAAATAATCAATGGTTGCATGTTTATAGCCTATTGCAGTTAATTAATTATCTTCTATTTACAACAACCTGCATTCACATAGTGTCAACTCAATAAACATTTGAAGGTGCTTCGCAAGAACATTAGCTGACAAAATGTAGCACTGAATCACATAAGAGGATATTAGGACTGATGACTAAAAGCTTGATCTAATAGCAAGTTCTAAGGATGATCTTAAATGAGAAGAGAAGCTTCAACGAGAGAATTCAAGACCTTAGGACCAAGTTGGGTATTGACCACCAATGATGGGAAAAAGATAGTTGTAGGAGGACAAGATGCTAGAGTTGGTGTAATGAAAGTTCTCAGAGGATTGTAGGTAAGGAAAGTGCAGCCAGGAAGAGATTTGGACTCATGAATGAAAATTTAAAATTCAAGGCAATGCTGAATTGAGAGATAGAGTAGGTCAGTGAGCACATGGATGATGGGTGAATAGTACTTGGTGCCAGTCAAGATTTGGGCATCAGACCCTTTAAATGAACTGACATTTATGGAAGGTGGAAGGTAGAAGACTGATCAGAAGGGCATGGGAAGAGTTGAACCTGGGGAATAGATGAGAATGTCAGTGGCAAATGAGCTGAGGCAGGTGCAGAATGGAGCGATCTTTTGGTTTTTCAGCAGATGTGAGATCATAAAAGAAAAATTGAGGTTATACACCTGGCGGAAGTCACTTTATTGGAGAAAGGGTGCTTGGTACATAGATGATACAGAGGAAATTTACCAGGGTGTTGCCAGGACTGGAAAAATGCAGCCGCAGGAACAGTTGGGTAGGCTGGGGTTGTTCTGCTTGGTAAAAAGAAGGCTGAGTTCTGAGGAAGGATCACCGGACCCAAAATGTTAACTCTGATTTCTCTTCACAGATGCTGCCAGACCTGCTGAACTTTTTCGGCAATTTCTGTTTTTGTTTGAGGCTGAGGGGATATTTTATTAAGCTGTACAAGATTGTAGGGACCTAAATAGAATGGCTGGGTAGGACCTGTTTCCTTTGCTGGAGGGGTCAATGACTAGGGGGCATAGAATAAAAGTGGTGAACAATTAAAGTTAGAGAGATGGGTAAACACTTTTTTTTTCACCCAGAGAGTGATCAGGGTCAGGAATCCAAAGCCTGAAACCTTCAACTCATTTAAAAGGTGTCTGGATAGGCACCTGAAATCCTATAACCTCCAGGAATGTGAACCAAATGCTGCAAGGTGGAATTAGGCTTGGTGGCTCATTGCTTGGCCAACACAGACATTTTGGGCAGAATGATATTTTTCTGTGCTGTAAAGTTTATGGGGAGGTTTAATTGAGACATTCAAGGGGGCATGAGATGGTTATTAAATAGAAATAATGTGCTGAGTTATTGGGGAAAGGGCAGGAGAATAGCATTCGGTCATAATGCTGATTTAGAGAACTGGAACAGATATGGTGATTGAATGGCACCCTCTGCACTATAATAGTTCTGTGATTCTATAAACTTAAGCTTATGGTAAGATAGGATGTCAAAGTTGTGAACAGTCTGTCAGCCTCAAACAGTTGCCAAAGAGAGTCATGGAATTGATGGCAAGTGAGCAGAATTTGTGTTTGGGACGAAAGACAGTGGCTTCCATTTTGATTGGAGGAAATTTCTGCCCCTGTAAGCAGCGGGACAAAGGAAATGTTGTTGTAAGGTTGAGGAGTGAGGCAGACCGGTTGTTGCCAGTGTACATGGGGAAGCTGACTTTGTTTTTTTGAGTGCTTTCTTTTATGGGTAGCATGTCGATGATAAATTTAAGGAGAAGAGGATCAGACCCTATGAGGAATCCAGTGGTAACAGTGATGTGGTGGAAACAGAAATGTAAGGTATTCTGGCTACCACTGGATAGGTAAGACTTAGAACCAGGTGGAGACAGTCCCAGACAGTGGAGAAAAGGATAGTGTTGTCCATTGTGTCAAAGTCAGGTTGAGGAGGGATGGTATAGCCTGCTCATAGTCATGTCAGATGTGACTCTGGTTAAGGTTGTTTCAGTGGTGTTGATGGGTCAGAAATCTCATTTTAGAGGTTTCAAACATGGAATCAGCAAGATCAATGAGACGAGTCAACAAGATAAGTCAACAAGACGAGTCAGATTTTGTAGGTGACCACACATATTAAGATTTTGGAGAGGCAAAGGAGGTAGGAGATTAGATGATCCTTTTCAACAACTGAGGCATCCAGGGCATTTTATTTTGAGTGGGGAATTGGATGGCAGTTTCGAAGGGCCACATACTACATATAGTAACCCAGACTGAAGATTCTTCAAATGAAATGCAAACCCGAGCAATCACATTTAATATTTAATGGATATAGATTTATTATTCTAGGAACATGCTGTTAAGGAGATTATTTTCCTCTTGAGCGTAAGGGGAAAGCATCAGTCAAATGGATGAAAACCTGTTACTTTATCCACAATCTGAAAACGTGTTTATTGTGGTGGATTTCTGCTTGAGTCTGGATTGTCCATCAAAACGGTAATGCCACACTCCAGGCGGGGTGCAAGGTACTGAACATTTGTCCCCATTGCAGTCAGCACTACCTGAACGAGAGTGTTTTCTAGAATTTGCAGCCTCGGGTGCAGCACTGACTGATCAATTCTCAGAGGCCAGGAGGAGTTGCCGTGACGCAGGCGGCTGGGTTCAGCCCCAGTCGTCAGCCGCTTCTGAATGACTAGAGATCCAAACAGCTCGGATCAGCACCAGGCAGGCGGTGGAGCTGAGCTACTCCGGTAGGATTGCATGACAATGACTGAAATCTTCTCGTGTGTTTTTTAAAAAATTCTGAATGTGGCGATTTGGTCGCGCTGCAACGTCGATGAAATTGCAACAACTGCAGCATTATATTCCTACCCGTGGCTGTTGCGCTTGTCGGGGCGCTGGTCCCCAGGTGATATTGACAGGCTTTGACGGGGACGGGTCGCTCCTTCAATTGTTGTTTTCCTCCCAGGCTTAACGTTTGGCGAAGGCGAATGAGTAGCATTCGGTTCTCCAGGCCAGGGATGTGGAGAATACATGGTTTCTCTGACCGTGGTGTGTCTTGTACTCTTTCAGTGACGCAGGTTGCAATCCATGCAAGGTTGCTGCTGTTTCCCCTTCTCTATTGTTTGGTATCCCGGGCTAAATGGGGAGGCAGCGAAAATAACAAAAAAAAAGCAAAGCAGGGCAGAAAACTGATTAGCAACGCGGGTTGAATTATATAATTTCCTAAGGGTGTTTGATTATTATTATAGAATGGACTTGTAAAATATGTTCATATTGTAAATAATCTGGTCTCCCAAAACTTGGTATATTAGAAATAATCGTTCTAAAATAACCATTTCATATTATGAAATGTAGGTTTGATACGCCGTTTTACAAACCTCAAACCCAGGGCTCTCGACTAGAACTGATTCTGTCGTCTGGTAGATGATGCAAACTGATTATCCAATATTTACAGAATATTTTTCATAAGTTAAATCATTGCTGAAAAAGTTTAACATTCATCAGAAAATTCACTTGATGTTAAAGTGATGGCGGTTCCTTTCTCATGTTTTATACATAGTGTATGGATAGTAAATATTTGGAATATAAAGTAAAATCTCTGAATGCTTTTTATATCCAGTGAATGGTACAATAGAAAAATTCTAAGAACACAACTGGTTTTAGATGTTACATTTGGGTGATTTGAATTCAATGTTTTGTGATGTCTGTATAAACAAAACATTTTAAGAGGAGTCGTCCCACACTCTAACCAAATGCTTTCAATTGCTTTTATTTTCAGATGAAATCTTTTGAAATATTAATGAATTTGACTAGCATCTTTGTCTAGCAGTCGATTTGGGTAGTCCATTTCGGCCAAGTCATGAAAAGGCTGTGGAATTGAAAGGGTTAACTTTACTCCACTTGAACAGCCTATGCATTACCAGGCTAAGGTCCTGGTAAAGGTGAATGCTCTTTCTCAGACTCCTGTAATTATTTCAGTACCTGCACACATTTCAAATATGAATGGTGCTTTTTAATTTTTGTGGGAGAGAGAGATTACTTTCCCCTTTTCCACACTTCCTTTTTTCCACCTCTCCCTTTGCCTCTTCTCCTTTGTCTCCTTCCCCAGCTCTTCTCCCACTCATTCCTCTTACCCTTTCCCCACTTCCTTCTACCCAACCCTCTCCTCTCCTCTCCTCTCCCTGCTTTCTCCCAGTTTTTCCTCTGCCAACACTCAAAATTTAATTCCTGGCATTGACATCAGCTCTGAACAACAGACTCAGCACAAATCCACCCATGTCGGAATGTTTTTCAATTAATTCTGCCTTCCCATTCAATTTTTGATGTAAGTATATCTCCTCCAGTGCAGCACAGCATGCCCCAGAGTGGTGAACCTGCCTGACAGTTGCCTCTTGACTACTCATTTTTTCTGAAGTTCACAAGCAACTATCAGGGTCACTGAACCTTTAGTTTTCTCTCCCTTTCCTCTTAACTCTTTGGGGAGAAGCTTTTCCTTCAATTGACTCTGTCATCAAGGTACGTGCTGAGAGCAGGAACACACCATATGGAGAATAACAGGTGTCAACCCACCTTCCTCCTGTGAATCCTTGGCTCAGAACCAGCTCAAAAATTGTACTAATATTACCAGGACTCCCATGGCTTTCACTGACACCAAGGCAGTTGATGCCCTGTTTTGTAATATCAGGAGTATTAAAGCCTGAAATGTACAATGTATTATTCTTTTATTAACATGGAATATATTATGTTGCTAATATGAGACAATGTTATAACGTTTTAATAGTAGAGAAGGAGCACATTCAGCCCTGATCTTAGTAAAACAATCTAGTCAGTGCCATTCCACTGCTCTGTTTCCTTATCCCCACTAGTTATTTCCCTTAAATGCCCATTAAACATCCTTTTGAAATCATTGATTGTTTCCATTCAAACCCCATGTCGACAGGAGATTTTGTTCCCAAGCATTGTGTAAAACAAGTTCTTCCTTACACCTCCTCCGCATCTCTTGCCCAAAACCTTAAAGTTGCATCCACTAGTCCTTGTACCTTCAGCTAACAGAAGCAACAAATCTTGGCCTACCTTATCTAAACCTATTACAATTTTGTACATCTCCCTTAAATCCACCCCACCTCCCTAGTCTCCCTCGCTCCAAGCTGCAGCTTCTCCAACCTAACGCTCATCCCTGGAACTGTTCTGGTACATTTATCTCATCTCAAGATTCATCATATTCTTGTAGTTAAGTGCGGTGATCAAAACCGAAGGTGGTTCCTTCCTTTTTAAGGCCTTTAATGTCTTACTGGACGTAGACACAGCCTGAGTTTGATTATGTTTTGCAGACAATGCCATTTTTGCAAGCTTCAGCCTGTATGTTAGGTAAACGATACAATAAAGAAAGTGTGGCTTTAAAAAAAAATCTTTATGGTGACAGTGTGAGCTCTGGTTTGTAAAAGTTTGTTTTTAATAAACTAATATTGACAGTGAAGTCTGTAAGATTGCTACTGTTAGAAGAGCTAAGTTTAATTTTGTGAAATTTCGATCGCATTATCCACTGTGATTAAGAATATTCTTGTAGAATTTTAATGAAGAAAGGGATTTAGTTTCATGTGCTGAGTTTTTTATGGAGATGAACAGTTCAGGAAGATCCCAGGATCCTTGCTGTGTTCCACCTTAGTAACCACATGAGTGCTGCAGGTGGACTTTGGAGATTGGGGATGGTGTTGTATGGGATAGCTGTTATCTAGAGGAAGGAAATATCAGCAGGAAGTTTTGCTCCTGGTCACTGTCTGGTAAGCTCCATGATGCAGAGCAACGATCTGATCTATTGATTGTGGGATCTCTTAGCTCTGTCTATCATTGTTGCTTATGCTGTTAGGCCTGCAAGTAGTCCTGTTTGGTGGCTTCACCAGGTTGATATTTTTAGGGTGAAAACTGAGAGAGATTTTAAAAAAGACACAAGGCATGTATTTTTTACACAGAGGATAGTTTGCCTGTGGAATGAACTTCCTGAGGAAGTGGTGGATGTGGGCACAGTTACAATGTTTAAAAGATACTTAGATAAGTACATGAATAGAAAAGGTATATTGGCCAGAAGCGCAGGCAGGTGGGACTAGTTTAGTTTGGGATACTGTTTGACATGGACTGGTTGGATCGAAGGGCCTGTTTCTGTGCTGTAAGACTCTGGCTCTATGTGAAGTCCATATAGAAATATCAGAGGTCTGAAGAAGACTCCTATTGGACTTGAAACGTTAGCTCTGTTTCTTTCTCCACAGATGCTGCCAGACCCACTGAGTTTCTGCAACATTTTCTGTTTTTATTTTTGATCTCTAGTACCCTCAATATTTTGATTTTGATTCAGTTAATAATTGCACCACCTCCCAAATACTTGAATAGGCCCAGTATTCATTGCTCAAACTCTTGTAGTGTAGCCTGTAACTTTGAAACTGTATCTCAGTGTATCAAACTGTATGAGTTAGTGCTTTCAGGAGAGGATTTGAGGGTTCAAGTCAAATTGCAGGTTTGCTTATGAAATGGAGAGTTGAATGAAAAATAGGGGTGTATTTTCTGTTGACAAATATCAGTGATGGGGAAATAGGATGTTTTATCCATCTAGTCTGAAAGTCAACAAATTCCAAACCAGAAACAAAATAATGTGGATGGTAGACAGAAACAAGTACAGAAACCACTGGAAATACCTAACAGGTCTGGCAAGGTCTGCAGAGAGAGGGATAGAGTTAAGTGTTAGGTTGTATGTGGCCTTTCATCAGAGGATGGTGCATGTATGGAATGAGCTGCCAGAGGAAGTGGTGGAGGGTGGTACAATTACAGCATTTAAAAGACAACTGGATGGGTACATGAATAGGAAGGGTTTAGACGGATATGGGCCAAATGCTGGTAAATGAGACTAGGTTAATTTAGGATATGTGGTTGGCAAGGACAAGTTGGACCAAAGGGTCTGTTTCCATGTTATACATCTGAAAAGTTAGAAATGTAAGATGAGGGAGGGCTAGTAAAAGAACCAAAGGGAATCTGTGTGATGAATATTATGGATGAAGCTAAGGCAAAGGAAGTAGTAATGAGACAAGTACAGAAACGAAAGATGGGGGCGCAGGAGGTCTGAATGGCAGAATGATGAAGAGTTGCTGTCCAAGGGGAAAGCAAGAAGAACAAGATTAAGACCAAAGCCATAGAATCCCTGCAGTGTGGAAACAGGTCCTTTGGCCCAACAAGTCCACACCGACCCTCAGAGCATCCCACCCTGACACATCCCCCTATAACCCACCTAATCTACACAGCCCAGAACACTACAGGCAATTTAGCATGGCCAGTCCACCTAGCCTGCACATCTTTGGACTGTAGGAGGAAACCGGAGCAAACCCACGCAGACACGGGGAAAATGTGCAAACTCCACACAGACAGTCGCCTGAGGGTGGAATTGAACCCGGGTCCCTGGCGCTGTGAGGCAGCAGGGCTAACCACTGTGCCGCCCAAAGCCATGTTGGGAGGATTGACTCAATATGTAATTATTGAACTCAGTGTTGAGTCTAGAAGGCTGTAAAGATGAGGATCAGCATCTACAGGAGGTGTATGAGTCCCACGTAAGGATAGGGAAAGCACCAGATATTATGGGGCACTTCGTATATAGATGCCCATGGGAGTTTTGCACCAGTCCCACAGAGCCACAAAACCACAGCCTTTACTATTACAAAAGGCCTTCTGTGACATTTGGAGTGCCTCTAACCCATCATTGATCACC